AACGCCGCCGCCGCACGCCGGTGATGGAGTTCCACCTGAAGATGTCTACAAAATTAACTGCGATGGGGCTTTTATCCCTGGATCAAATAAAGCTGGGTTGGGTTTTATTATTAGAAATCATGCTGGCATGGTTGTAGCAGCAGGATCGAGCAGGATCAGCAAATTTTCTAATGTCAGCTCAACATGCTGAAGCAACTGCTTGTTTAAAAGGCCTGGAGCATGCAGCTCTATTGGGAATGAGGCGAGTTATTTTAGGGACTGATGCGGCTGCTATTGTTAAGGCCTTAAATGATAATTGCTTCGAAAGATCTGTGCTTGCAAATCTGATGAATGAGATCAAAACTTTTATGTATTTAGAGTTCTCTTCTTTGAATGTACCATTTCTCATGTATCAAGAGGGTGTAATGCTGTAGCAGATATTCTAGCGCGGCTATAGGCTTGAATTGTACTGATGGTCCTCTGCTGTGGCAAGACCATGTACCAGACTTTGTAGCTTATTTGGTGTCCGGCCCACGCTAATGGAACTATGTTTTCCATCTCAAAAAAATTATTTGCATTGCATGTCAACTCCCCGTCCCCGTGATTGAATTGAACGCCGGCCGGTTGCTTCCCTCCCGCTGCGACTGTCGATGGCAATGGCACTTGGCATTGGCAGTCAATGGATCGACCTGAGCTGTTCCACAGGGGACCCGAAAGGCTGAGCCGACCCCTCGTTTGGGCCTCAATCCCCCAACCCCAACCACACATGGACTAGTAGGCCTTCTATGTTACGTTACCTGGGCTGGGGCTGCCTTTCCTTAATTCCTGACCTTTTTTTTAGGAGACAGGTCCGGCTCTTAGCAGCAATGGAATATATGGTCACGTTTCTTATGCTGGGAACCTCCATGTTTCCGTTTCGGCAATATTTACGTTTTTACATTATATAAATATCGCCTCAAGTTGTTCCCGTTCTAAGTTCTCGTTCCCGAAAGGGAATATGGTTGTTAAGTTCTAGCTTTATCACCAGTAATGAGCTCATGGGCTGACAGACCTAAGTTCAGCTATTACTAATGAGCTTATGGATTGACCGATGTTCTTACAAGTCGATCGACATATCCTTTAATGAACTCATCGGCTGGCAAACCTACGTTACTCCTAGTCAGTTCTACTTCTTCGACACCATTAAAGGCATCTTCTTGCTCCGATCCTCTACGTCTCTCTCCGGGGTTTCTTATGATTAGTGGTAAGTTTAGGGGTGAGGAGGGGCTCAAGCCCCCGTTCTCCCAGCCTTTGGCCTTCCACCAATCATGTGTTGCCTGCTCATATGGCCACCCTATCGCCCGCTTTCACTCCTCGCCCCAAGACTGCCCGCGCCACACAACTGACGCCATCCGCCAGAGACTCTACCACCCCCACAAGATCTAGTGACTCGAGTTCCTGTCATCGCTCCGAGCTATAGTGCTACCTCCACCACCCTTGAGTTCGCCAATGAGGCTTCCCCGTGTCTACCCAAAGACAAAAAAAACACGACGTCAATCGCGACGAGTCTGTTCTCTCATTTTCAGATAGGTTTGTCAAGGAAGTATTACACATGCAACAGAGTATTTATTGGGCCAGGTTCTGGAACATTACTTGCAAGCAAGACAAGTTTGGCATTTGGAAAGGCATTTTCTTGAACTCTAGTGGAGTTGGCCTTTTATCTCGTGAAGATGATAGCGTTGATCGTCTGAAGTAATCTTCTTTTCTTCTGAATTTTATTGTTCTTTGGACATTATATAAGTAAACTTTACCAATTACATGAACACCTCCAGGATATATGACAGCCGCAACGCCAACAAAGTTCACCGCCAGCCGATGGCAAGCTTCCCCTCTAATGTTGCTGGTATAGAGCATTGCTCCTCTGAATCACTGATGAACATATTCTGTTTCATCGTTCATATCATGAATTTAGCTACTGATTCAGCATTTAATCGATTAAAATAGCAATATTTAAGTTTGTTCATCAGGCCTTATCTTCATCGTTATCTGAATGAGTGTATACTATAGCATTCCACCGTTATATTTGCATATGAAGGTTGTGCATAAAAACAAACCTCAATTTTTTTTTCTTGTGTGCTATGTATATATGGAGATCTAAATGAAACACATGATGATCTTGTCAAAGTGCTTGTTTACATGTATTGTATTGACGAAGCGCTCCATCTGTTGCCCACAAAAGCTTGCCTCATGACAATTTGTTATCAGTTCTGTCAGATGTATATGAGAAAGAAGGTTACTCAACGTTAATGGAGTCTTTAACTCATGATGAGGTATTACTTCTTTCCCATTTTTCTCCCGTTATTTATTAGTTTTATTTCTGTTTTCATTTTGGTCCAATATTATCCAACACCCCTGAGAACATGCGAGCATGTTTACTTTGAGTTGTATCCCAGTGATTTATCTCTCCCTTTTCATGAGAAAACTATATATTTTGCTTCCCTAGTTAGTAACACAGAACCGGGCGTGTTCTGAACTGACTCTAAACCTTGGTCCGTGTTGTGGCAGCAAATCCTTGTCGAGCTAGTGAACTCAGTTTGCTTTTGACTGATAAGCATTGTATTCGGTTGACTCTTGAGGATCCTACAGCGAGAATTCGTGCGTATGTCCATAAGAATGATTTGGTAATATGTTACTAAATAACCCTTATGCTTGATTTCCTTGCCTACAGACCAGCCCAGGTGTCCACATTCATCACTAGTAAAAAAAAATCACTATTGGTGGTAAAAAAAGTTATGGATGCTTAAAAGTCTTGCTGAATTAGGTGATCATGTCTTCATCTAAATCCTTGGCAGGTCGAATTCTTTGGTGGTTTTCTGACAGAAGAAGTGATCATAGAAAAGATGAAAAAGCTACTGGGCGTCCCAGAACCAGAGGACAGCGAGGAAGTTGCCCCTTTGACCAGGAATCCACCTTGGATATGGTGTATCTTGATGTCATACTATCGGGAAAAAAAACGATCCCTGGGGCAGCAGAAGGTACCGAATCGTTGACACAACGATCAGGGATTGAGCAGGGATGCTGCTCGAATATGCAGGAACAACCTTGCAAATGAATCGAACAGATGTGTAGTATTTTGTATGTGCTGCCAGCCTGCTTATGTAGTAGTATTTTGGAGGGGGGACATTATAGCTATACAACATCTTGCAAGGATGCAGGGCGACACGCTATAGTTGTACGTAGCCTACTACTGTCCGTGTTACTGCCTTGATGTAATGTTGTTGCAGTGCCGTCGATCCGTGGCCATATGCTTTTGTACAGTCAGTGAATTATTCTATCGAGAACACTGGTGGCACCGTGGCATTCTGTACGTAGGCCAGTTGTGCACCTGCACTCTAGATTATCTTATATTCTTAAGAACCCCTTCTTCTATTGTTCGGCGCCTTACAGTTCTCTGGGTTTCTATTATTATATGGATATATTTCTTGTGAATTTTCTGCGCTTTGATATTGCTATGCTGCTGTATTCCGTTTCAGAAGAAGCTTGTGATGGACTTCTCTTCTGGTCGTAGTATCTTGATTCTCGCGATTGTATCATTCGTTTTTAGCGTATAACAGATTTGTACTCGTGGGTCTCAAGTAAAAGAGACCTGCTGTTTGGCCAGGTCGACCATCAACCATTTGTGCTGTGGCCCGTGACCATCCAATTCTACTCCTAAAATTCTATACGAACCTTCAAGGACAGGCTCGACACAAAGTCGAATCTGTTGCACAAGAATATTTTGGAAGATGATGCCCTCTGCAGTCGCTGCGAAGAAGACAGGCAGGCATCATGTGTTGTTTGACTGCGCAGTTAGCAGCGAAGTATGGCAATGCATCGGCCTAGCGGGGCTTGACGACGTCGACCTGTGGGCTGTGGGCTGTGGGCTGTGGGCTGCACCAACAATCCATCATGCTTCTTGGCCGTCAGTACTCCTCACCCTGCTTTGCCGACTTTGGGATGCTAGCTAGGAATGGGACGATTTTCAGTCCAATTCTATATTTTCTTTCTGAATGAATCGGTTCGTGCTTACGGAACTCAGTAGCCGGCCGTTGTACATTCCACATTCGCTGGTCGTTTTCCTTTAGTATGAAAACGGCATGCTCTGCCTTTGCATTAAGCAGAAGGTGAAAACATACAGCAAATTAAACGGACTGGACTATAGAGTTCCAGGAAGAGACCCAAAAAACAGAAATGAAAAAAAAAACACTGCACACCAGCTGCAGTCAACGGTGTGGTTCTACCTATACGTCAGTTATTTACAAGAACATGTTCATGCGCCATACTATCATATAGCAAGATGTCTCGTTGGATTAGCCTTGCTACCTATGCTGGCGTTTGCCTTTTATCGTCGAAGACTCTTCTACAGCGCTTTTTACATAAGTTCCAGATAGCATAGATCACCAATCACTTGGGTATGCTTTCTGTCAGTCCTAATGTTGTCCGGCCCAATCATGGCAGACCACAAGTGTTTGATTCTTATGCTTGTTATGTTTTGAGTGATCATTGGGGGGTTGAGCTTTTGACCAGGCCATACAGGAGGAACAACGATTTTGAACTTTTCAGCCACCATGTGCTTTGGCGATTCAGCTTCTGTTCTGCATGCATAGCTGACAGACAGGGTTTGCCTGGCCTCCTCGCCGAATGATTTTATCTGAAGTTAAGATCTTCATTCGCTGGTCGTTGCTGCTGCAAACTGCAAAGCAACCCAGATGAGTAGATGACGATGATCAAGTGTACGGTTATCACAGGCATGGAATGGAGCAAAGCAACAGAGCACAGCACGAATGCATAGCAATAGCTTTCACTGCAACAACACCCATCCACAGACCACAGTCTGCAGCCAGCAACGGCGAGAGGGGCGGGCAACTACTGCAGACAGATCGAGCATGGTTTGTTCATTCACATTTCAAAGCATCCAAGTACAGACCGTGAACCCCGTTAATTAGACGCCCTAGAGAGCTTCACTATGAACATATATGGCCGCCCGGCCCATGGTCTCCTCATCAGAAACTGGCGGAATTCGTTCGCCGGAGGTGGTGGTGGTGTTGCTGCTGCTTCCTCTCCGGTTGCGGCAATGGCAGCCGCTCGTCCTGCTCCGGTGGCGGCTCCAGTGGTTCCAGCATCTGCACCACACCCAAACCAAGCACATTGTTAGCTGCCAGCATCTACAGAGGCCTCAAACCAAGCACACTGTTAGCTGCCAGCATCTACAGAGGCCTCTCTTTCTTTCTTATCTTAACCCCTCCATCCATGATACAACCAATGATGCACCATGTCACTGACAATCAGCATGATATAAGACTACCAGGATGGATGGAACTCAATGTACAACATTAGAAGTAGGTGACAAACTCTTGGAATGGAACTGTGGATGGATGGAGCTATCCAAGGAATGCACATGCTCTTCATTGGGCTCCATTTTTTTTTGTCTCATCAGGCTGAAATTTGGAATGTTGTGACAGCTTAAACTTAAAAAAAACAGCCACAATTGCCATTGCCTGCCCTATAAGAGCGCATTAGGCAGGTCCGTACACTGCAAATGCATAAATGATTTGCAACAAGATGCTAGAATATAGGATTACGTGATCGTCCACAATCCCCGTTTATATAAATATATATAAAAAGGCAAGCCAAAATGGTCCACAGCTGGTGCTACAAGTTTAGCTCATCTTTCTAGACTAGGAACTAGAGACTTCGTTTGGCCAAATCGGTGAGGCAACATCTATTATTGCTATGCTCCATTTTAGCCCCCTCCACTAAGCATCCCTAGCAAGTTTAAGCATACATCTTGTCTTGTGTAAACAAACACTGAAACAAGGTGCGGTATCTTCCTACCACTTTTGTCTAGACTAGAAAATGACTCACTTTCAGTTTCAGAGAGAGAAAGACAGGGAGAGTTTTTGCAGGCCTGAATCCACCAAGAAAGAACTCTGCTGAAGCTCAAAAGAACTGAATAAAAAACATGGAGGCAGAGACAAGTTTGGGACCACTTCACTTTGAGAGAATGATGTTTACCTTGAGCTTCCTGAGACGCTCGTTCTCCTCCTCCAGCCGGGCGATCTTGTTCTCCAGCTCGTTGGTGTACGCCTGCAGAGGTCGCTTTAGCAGCTTAGAGAAGGAAATCCATGGAGATGGAGCTTAAAAATCTTATGTAGGGACTAGGAACTGGATTGTGGAGGAACATACTCCTAAAACATTCTCTATTCTATTGGATGTGGAATGGTGGAAGTGGAAATGGAACCCCACCTGCTTCCTGGCCCGGGACCTCGCCGCGGACTCGCGGTTCTTGATCATGCGCTTCTGCCGCCGCTCCACCGTCCTCTCCACGACGCCGTCCCCGTCCCCAGCCGCCGCCGCGCCGCGCTTCCGGCCGGCCACCTGCGAGTGCGAGTGCGAGTGCGAGAGGAAAACCCCCACCGGGCGGTCGCGGTACGCGGCGTCCAGAGCCGGGCCGGGGGCGGCGGCGCCGAGCGGCAGGGGCCGCGGCAGCGCGTACTGCTGCTGCGGCGGGTACTGGTGCATCCAATGCGGGGCGGCGTCGACGGCGACGCCGGCGCGGGAGAGGAAGTCCTCGAGCGTCATCTCGCCCATGGAGGGCTGGCGGCCTCCGCCCCCGGCGCTCTGGATGTCGCGCCACACCTCGCCCACCGTCTTCTTGGCAGCCGGGGGCTGGCCCGCGGCGGCGGCGGCCGGGGCGGCGGAGAGCACGGTGCGCAGGAGGTCGTCCAGGTTCATGGTCCGCAGTGGCTCGCCCAGCTGCGTCTCCACCTCGGTGAGCGTGAGGCCGTAAACGGAGCCCTGCCGCGGGAGGCCGCGGCGGCCATCGTCGCCGTGGGAGTGGGACGACATTGTCTGAACTCCCATCCACGCGCGCCCACGTGCGATCACCTCACCTAGTCACCTGCACGGCTGCACCTGCAAAGAAATCAATGCGCAGCGGCGGCGCAGTGGGGAGGGCGGGCGGCGCAGGCGCAGAGATCGGAAATGGCAAGAACAGCAGGTGCTTGCTCGACCGGAGCGGCGACAGTGGAAACAAAACCTTTGGGGGCATATGACAAGAAAGGGAGAATCTTTGCGAAGAAGGAGAGGAGCAGCCGGGCAGGGGGGTTGTGCTTGTGCAGCAGCTCCTGCTCCTTTTTTTTTATTACCTGAGCAAGCAAGGGGAGGAGAGGAAGAGGAAGATGAGGGACCAGATCGATGTATCAATCAGAGAAGAGGGGCAGATGGGAGCCTTAATTTTAGGATTGGCACAGCCGCAAGAGGGAGAGGAGGGTCCAAAAAGGGAAGGGAAGAGAAGGAAGCAGAGGCCGGCCAGAGCCAGAGGAGGGAGGAGACTGGGACTGGACTGCCGACTGGGAGTGGGAGAGAAGAGAGAGCCAAGCCAAACCACAGCCACAGCCTTTTTGCAAGGCCGATGCTCCAGGCTTTGCTGCATTTTTTACTTTTTATTTATTTTCTGTTTGTTTTCTTTTGTGAGAGAGGAAAGGAGGGAGATGAACGGCAGCCCAGCACGAGTGAAGTGAGAGGTATAGTACGACTTTATGCGCTATGCATTGGTGGCCCACTGGAGGCAGCTCATTAATTCATAAATAAAAGAAGTCGTTTGGGGTTTTCTGCTTCAGATTTTTTCTGTTTCTTTGTTTGTTTGTTTGTTTGGGACCGCAAAGCTGAAAAGGTTTTGTTCGATTAATCGCTTTCTCAAGCCGCTTCCGGTACAAAGGGACGAGGAAGATTTTGATTTGCAGGGATTTTTTTAATTCTTTACAGTCTCTCTTTAAATCTTACCGGATCAAAAATGGTTTAAGGGCTCATTTGACGTGGCTTCGGGAGGCCCTGCCGCCCTGGTAGCATGAGCTGATGAAGCCTCGCAACAACCAGGGCTTTGTTTAGTTGGTGAAATTTTTTAGAAATAGTATTGTAGTATTTTTGTTGTTATTTAGTAATTAGTGTCCAATCATAGTCTAATTAGGCTTAAAAGATTCGTCTCGTGAATTTCGTCTAAACTGTATAATTAGTTTTATTTTTTATTTATATTTAATGCTTCATGCATGTGTCCAAAGTATTCGATGTGATAGAGAATCTTGAAAAATTTACAAAATTTTGAGAACTAAACAAGCACCGGCTCTTTCGGCTCCTTCAGTCCATAGTTCATATTTGTAAGTCGGAATACTTGCTACAGTGACCTAAGTGCTAAGGGCGTGTTTTGTTTTGTTTTTTTTTGCCAGCTTCTACAAGCCAGAAGCTGAAACAAGCTTCAGCCTGGTTGTTGAACTAGCTTTTGAAAAGCTCAAAAAGTTGGTTCGGAGTAAATGAACCAAAAGCTAAAAAAACATGTTCTGATGAGCTTTTTTGGCTTTTGATGTGCTGAGAAACTATAAAATTATTACAAAAGCTAATAGCAAAAAAAAAAACGGTCTGAAAAGATAGGTTTTGAGCCAAAAGCCAAAAAAATATAGCTCAAACAAACAAACTCTAAATAGTGCCAAACAATACAAAGTGCACATGCAGATGATGCCCCTGGTAGCCATGCCAAACGAGCCCTAAGAAAACCATAGCCATAGTTAATGTTTGTGTGCATTTGGTAAGAAAAAGAACTCAATACATGGTTAGTTCCATGAGGTTTCTTTTAGATGGTTAAATGAAAGAGTACGGGGCTAGTATAAAAAACAGTCATATAGAACTAGTGTATATCGTAAACCTATGGGCTATCTCTATGAAACGAAATGAATGTGGTAGTCTCCACCCTGCATATAATGGAAGGGCGAGTTGTGGCTCGCTACAAGTGAGCTAGAAGACCTATCCACAAGACTCTAGCAATCATGTGCTCCATACACAAAATAGCCTTTTGAGACACAGCCGGAGGGATAATGCTGTTGGATTCATCAGTCCAGAGAAAGGGGGTGTTCGCTGCAGTAGAAGAAACTCTATCAGGACCTCCATTCCATAGTTCATATCGTGCCTGTTTAGTTTCCAAAATTTTATAAATTTTTTTAAGATTTCTCGTCACATCGAATTTTTGGACACATACATAAAGTATTAAATATAAATAAAAAATAAAATTAATTACACAGTTTAGACGAAATTCACGAGACGAATCTTTTAAGTCTAATTAGACTATGATTGGACACTAATTGTCAAATAACAACGAAAATACTACAGTACCATTTTCAAAAAAAAAACGCCAACTAAACCAGGCTCTAGGCTGTCGGAGCCGGAACAATTTTTTTTGCCTATAGTGATCTATAGTGTTGAGGGTTGCTTGTTCCAGGCTTTTTTGCTGGCTTCTGCCATAGTAGCCAGAATAGCTTTTGAAAAGCTTGCTTATGAGAAAATAAACTAAAAGATGAAAATCACGTTCTGAGAAACTGTTTTAGCTTTTGGTGTGTCGAGAAGCTAAAAAATTATCGAAAAACCAATAGCAAGAAACTAACATCTAGAAGCCCAGAGCCAAAAAGCCAACTTTGAAGCCAAAAGATTAGAAACGGCAGCTCCAACAAATAAACCTTAAATAGGACAAAGTGTAGACAGAGCGGAGCCCCAGGAGCCATGCCAAATGAGCTCTAAAAAAAACTATATCCATAGTGAATGTTCAAGTATATGGTTAGAAAAAAAACTCGATAAGATGGTGAAATGAAAGACACGTATGAGGCTAATATACAGAGGCTAGGAAAACAATTATAGAACTAACGTATACAGTAGTTATATATAGATGGTCGTAAATCTATCGGCTATCACCATCAAACGAAATGAATATGATAGTCGATCTCTGCTCGCGTATAATGGAAGGACAGAGTTGTAGCTCGCTACAAGTGGGCTAGAACACCTATCCAGAGACTTTGGCAATCACATGGGATCTATACACACACAACTAGAGGGATAGGCACGTTGGGTTCATCAGTCCAGAGAAAATAATCCAAAAGCAAACCATGGTAGATTTTCCACTTGCTCTTGTTCCATGAACAGAAGGACGCATGATCGATGGACGCTGCTGGCTGACGCAGTGACGCTGAGCTCCTGTGGCATGTGGCTATGGAGCTGACGTCCCATGCTACTGCTCCTGTAGTCCTTCAGCCAAAGGAGCAGCAGATACTTTACTACAGAATAGTCAAATGACTGTTGCCGATAATTGTTTATAAACCGTATTTTTTAGTGAACGAAAAATATTTTTCTCTCACAATAAATCAGTTAATAATGCTTTCAGTCATCAAACGAATAGAACAAATGGAGAGATCTGACATAATCCGCCTAAAAGCCTGGTGAATTTTTCTGTGGTAAAAATAACTTTTTTGAGCAAATTAACTGATTGGTTCAGGGGTCCATTCTCTCTAATGGCCTGTCTCACCTCTCATCTCTCAGGCAGGAGCCAAACTGTTGAATGGGCAGGCGCTGTCAAAACTGCCATGATGGAAGAAAAGCTCGGCTTTTTTTACCTTTTTCCTACCAACAAATTAAATTTGCTTGTTTACCGAATCTTCTTTTTCTCACCCCCGCCCTTTTTCTTCTCTTTTATTGCTTTCAATTATAGAATAGCATAGCATATTGTTTCTTTTGGCGTCACTCGTGTGCAATTCCTTGTGAAATGCTGGATATGGAATCATTGTGACCAAATAAAAAAATGAAACAGCCCGGATTCCCTAAGAAAAAAAAGGCAAAAAAGAAACAGTATCATTTATGTAAAGGAGGAGGAGCATTTTCATGACAATGCATGGTTCCACCGCCACAAACATGAACATTCCTTACATGTTTCCATTAGCAAATAACTGAAATAAGCCACCTGGCTAAAGATATATATATATATATATATATATATATATATATATATATATATATATATATATATATATATATTCTAACGGAAATATATATGACACTGACTAATGTGTTGTCTTATAAGCCATACTTTTTCAGCCAACAAACAGTATTTTTCTCTCACAACAAATCAACCAACAGTACTTTCAGCCATGACTTATCAGCCAAGCGAACAGGGCAATTATAAGGAGAAAAGGCCCTGGAAAGGTGATTATAATAATGAAGAAGCATCAGACTGAGTTCCCTCGGTGTAATTACACGTAGTCGCGGAATATCCATATCCTTTTCGCAGGCAGCATATATAGGTAGATAGCTATATAGATCTATTGTGGTTTCTGAATTTATTAGTTCATCGGTTCCCGTTGTATGAAACAGCATCACCTTTAGAGTGAAGAATCGCACATCATACTAGCTGCTGCGCTGGCCCAATGAGAAGCTAAGCAGATGCATTAAGAAAGATGACTAAGCCTCTCTTGTAAGCAAAATTTTGGACCAAGCTTATCTGCTAATGATGGTAATCGTTGCATATATCTTTCAACCAAAGTTATCCCCAGGCATGCGTCATGAAAATAAAAGAGACGAATTTTACGTGTGTGCGTATAGCCGACGAAGAAGAAATATAATTATTGCACAGTTGCGTAGGCTAAGCAATGCAAGTTCCTTTAGTAAAAAAGGAAGGAAAACTTACTATTACTAAGGCCCCAATTGAGACTCCACGTTAATTATATTCTCAACAGACTCGCAAGGAGAAATTATAAATCCTAGAAATTCTCGCAATTATCCGAGACATATGGTCTTTAAATTTTGTAGACGCTAGTCATCATCGCAAATATAATTACAAATCTGTATTAAATCTATAAAACTAAAATTTTGAAATAGGAATTTTAGATTCCTGATCGCATAAGTTATGGGCCGCAACAAAAGGTACAATAGTTTGACCTAATTAATGTTTTCGATCAAATGCATAATCAAGATACACAAGCGTGTCATGCGAAAGAAAAACTATGGATATAGATAAAACTCCATATTTTTTTTTTTTG